AGATCTCTAAAGATCTTTCTTTAGTGAAAATAGTTACAGAACAGTTTCATAGTATAATTCATTTGCACAAAAAACAAATTTTACTTGGAAGGATACTTGAAAAACTGTAAACAGAGGTAGTGTCTCTGCAGAGCAGGATTGGGGGATATGAAGAAAAGAAATATACTCTTCATCCTATAGCTGGTGAGTGTCTTTTTATTGGGGAAAAAAAAAAAGTTAAATGAAAAGACCTGACCCTCTTTCCTCCCTTGTCCAAACCCAGCTCAGGAATATCTCAACATACACCTTAAATTTCACCATGTTACTACACTTAAACTAAGCCCATCCATGAGAAAGAAAAGATCTCACAATTCTAGCTGCAATTAACTTTGTTCCACTCCATTTGCCTCAAACTTCTTACTAAAAATAAAATAAAATCTCCCGGTTGTGGGAAAGAAAAAAAATGCACTGGACTCAGTCTTTCAAAGTGACTCACTCTAACAAAGTTTTTAATACCGGGAAGAGAGCATTCATCAAAAGGGTATGGCAAGGGAATGTCTGTGCGTGTGTACGCATAAAGGCGCGCACACAGTGTAAGCCTATTGAGCCACAAGACACCAGTTCTGCTGACAGTATCAGAAGGCCAGTCAGGCAGGAGAACACTGTGGCAGTGATGTGCTCTGGGAGGATCTCTGGCCTAGGGAAGAAGACCTCAGTTCCATTGAGCTACCCAGACCAGCTGTGGGGTCATGGGCAAGTCCATTTACCCCCTGAAACTCTCCTTGTCTACCCAAGGATGGAGTCTGGGTTTCTCTGTCACACAAACAGCAGTAGGTGTAGAGATGGAGGCAGAGCCTTGAGAATCTCAGATGTTCATTTAGGGCTGACTCTGGTGATTTTGGAGGTTCCCATGCTACTAGTACATTTCTAAGCGTCTTCAATCTGGAAGATGTACTCTTTAATGACTCTTCTGAAGAAACAGTCATCGGAGCCTTGAGTCTCTTTCCCTTGGCTGACCACAGAGCGCCATGGCCAGAAAGATAAACAACCCGTGCTCACCCACTGAGAAGCGCTGAAGACAACCGTGCCTCAATCAATGACCAGCAGCGAAGGCCTCAGTCCACTCTAGAGGCCTTAGAGCAGGGTCTGTCTCTTTCATCCTCCAACCAGGTTGCTAGGAAGAATAAAAGGCCTTGCTAATGCTATTTTGGGAAATCCCCTAAGAAAATCACCAATAATAGAGGGTCAGATCTAACCTAACTAAAATCAACCAAGACATGAGCTCCTTAAAGTCTTCCTAAGTAAACTCAATAAGTACATAATGACTAAAAATGCCTTTAGCGTATCTATCAGGCTTTTCTTAGAGGAGGTAGGTGTACTTTATAGTATTGCTAGTGGCCAGGTGTTGTAAATCATTATATCTAGAAAGGATGTTAACAGGTACAAAATCTGTATCATCTTCCATTCTACCTATAGCACATTCTCACAACAAAACAAATGAAATAATATCAAAAGGTGGCAATTGGTACTGATGTAGCCTCAGCTATTAGCAAGATCAGGTTTGGAGCTTTTTCTTTGACCCCTGCTGCCTCAGTTTACTAGCTGTAAGGTGCATGCCTCCAAACAAGCACTCACCCAGGAAACTCATCCTAGCCTCCAAGGGCAGCACACCCACTGCCTGCTGAATTTTCCAGAGGCCTCCTTAATCTGGGCCCCATGACCTACTTTCAGAAAGTACCACAGGATACTGGCAGGAGTGGGCTACTTGGCATGCACACACACCATCTGATCAGAGACTGATAAATCTGTGTCTTCATTGCAGAGCCTTTATCCTGCCGACACACTGTGACTCTTCAAGAGGGGCTTGTTGTTGTGTGCCTTCAAGTCAGTATCAATTCATATAGACCCCATGGGATAGAAGAAAACTGCCAGGTCTTCCTCCTGTGGAGCGTCTGGGTGGGTTTGAACTGCCAGCCCTTTGGTTAGCAGCCGAGTGCTTAGGCATTGTGCCACCAGGAATCCTTAAGAGGGGCCTGTTGTTGCTGTTGTTCTGTGCCAGTGAGTTGATTCCGACTCATACCAACCTTATAGGGCAGAGAAGAAATGCTCCATAGGGTTTCCTAGGCTGTAAATCTTTACTGGAGCAGATCGCCAGGTCTTTTCTCCCACAGAGCTGATAATGAGTTCGAACCACCAACCTTTCAGTTAGCAGCTGAGCACTTTAACCATTACGCCACCAGGGCTCCTTAAGAGGGTGCTAAAAACCAGTTGCCGTCAAGTCAATTCCAACTCATAGCGACCCTATAGGACAGAGTAGAACTGCCCCACAGGGTCTCCAAGGAATGTCTGGCGGATTCGAACTGCCGACCTTTTGGTGAGCAGCCATAGCAGTTAACCACTATGCTACGGTGCTAGGATGTGCTAAATTCCCTATACTTATTATTTTGCAAAGCATTGCATCCCAGAAACCACATTAAAACCACATTAAACAATAGAACTATCCTCTCTCACAGAGCCTCTGTCTCAACAAAAGCAGAACTAAAGATTCTAAAAGTCCTTGATAATTGACACTGAACACCACTCATTACAAGAAAAACTCTTTCCAGGTTTTATGCTGCTTTTAAACCCATTCAGATGTTTGTGGGAAATGACCCAAAGAAATACTACTAGACAGTGTCTAATACAAAACTACACAGCACCAAGGCTCACAGAACTCCCTGATGGATCCGGAAGCATTAAAATCTTAATTTTTGATAGTAACCACCTCCCCACTTCTGGCCCAGGCCCAGACTACTACAGTCCAGAGTAAGCTAGAAGCCATTCAATGACCATCCATGGTTTTGAAGATGTACAAAATGAAGTAAGCCCAGTTCTCCTCTCTCACCGTTTATCCCTCACTCTTAATTAAGGCCACCCATCAGGCTGAGAAGTAGGCCCTGTAGCTGTCTGGACCTGTGCACTATCTGCCCTCTCCTTGCTTTCTCCCCCCTACTTTCCTCCAAGGATCAGAACGAGCACAACATGGAGCTGCCCAAGAACAAAACCACCTATGTCCCTACCAACTCCAAACAAAGAATGTCCCAAGTCATGTTGGCCTGGATGAGCTCAGGGCTTCTGGAACTGGATTTGAAATGGAAGATGGAAAACTGCCTGCACACATCAACCAGTGGCTAAATAAAGGCTGACCCGCTGGGGCTCTATGGAATCTCCCCGTCCAGTAACATGATGTAGGTGCTTCAGGTAAAACAACTTTTGAGGCCCCAGTTTTTCCACTTGTGAAATCAAAAAGGCTACTGTTTCAAATTATTCATAGATTACTTGTGAAATTAAAAATGAATAAAATAAGATGAAAGGGACAATGCTAAACTATGCTATGATATAAAAGCAAGTCAATTAACTCTCTAGCCTTAGTTTCCCCATGTATAAAATGGGGTGGTTGGGCAGATAAGGGTTAGAGTGCTTTCATTTCCAAAACTTAAAAGATCTTGTATCTAGATGGAAGTTACAATTTGAACAGATTTAAGGTCCAGGTTCCTACATAACAATGTGTTAAGTTAAATGTAGTGTAAAGTAGCAAAGCAGCCTTGAAAATTGAAAGAACATGTTGTTGTTGGGTGCCTTCCAGTCCAATTTTGACTCATAGTGACCCCGTGTGACAGAGTAGAACTGCTCCATCGGGTTTCCTAGGCTGTGATCTTTCCAGGAGGTTGGCAGCCAAGTGCTTAACCGTTGCACCACCAGGGCTGCCCGGAAAGAACATACATGTAATTTATTTTAACAAAGAAAACCTCAAGCCTCATCTTGCGAATTAATAGGAAGTCAATCGTGACAAGCGTGTAGTTTAACGTATCATCTTTGCCATAGTTTGGCTATATTTTAAATATAAACTATTGTTGATAAATTAAAAAAACAGTCATTTTTAAAGGAACGGTTAAGCTCCTAGTAATGATATTTTTCAAATAAAATCGTGCTGCAACACAAATTATAGCACCTTAACAAAATACTGTGAGCTAAAACATCAGAAGGAAGTATTAACTCACTGATATGGAGAAATAAATTGATGTTTGTTCACCACCTACTATGCTCTGATACTACAAAGTTTAATAAAATCATTTATTACTCTATGTTCTCATTTGTTTAAGCTTGTTTTATATTAACTGAAATCTGGCAGCTCTAATGGCTAAAGAAAGCAGATAAATTTAAACTAAAAATGTATTACCTATTCTTAAATAATATGAATTTAAATGAAAACAGCTTGAACCAGGATTATTTCTTTCAGAACAAGTCACCCCTCCCTCTGCAACAACCCACCCTAAAGTAGAAAAACACATACGTATCACAAGCACATGTGCATTATTATCTAAAGAGGTGACTTGGACTCTGTTACGGCTAATAAACAGAAATAGATTTCACTCCTGGCCAACAGTTAAAAGCATCCATTGGGTTAAAATTCAAGATGTTTTTGGAATTAGTGTACAGGCAGACACATCCTGTTTACCCCCAAAACCTAACACACAACAACAGCTTCTACACTGATCCTCTCTATACCAGAGAAGCCATGGAAAATCTCAAGTGACACTTGACCTCTGATTTGTCTTTTATTCCTGAAAGCAAATGGTAGATAACTAAGTTTAAGTGGAAAAAAATCAGCCTGAATTATTTTGGATTCTAAAAGACATTATTTTGAAAGGAATGAAAATGAGTTTTAAATGCCCTTAAGATCCAGAGGGAAATGCAGCTTTGGCTTATTCTTTGGCATGTAGCCAAGAAAGCCAAGCTAGCAATGGAGATGGAGTATAATCAGGAAAATAACATGCCCTTCTGCCAGGCCAAAGACACAAATATGGCCTGAGCATAAAATTAATAACGCTAACAATCACAGGAACACACTGGTGTCCAAGAGAGTACGTTCACCTTCACTAATGTCATATTCACTCTCACTGAATACAAATGAAGAATTATAATTAAACCTAACACACACACACACACACATACACGCACACACCACAGCTCTCTCTTACCTCCAACATAGGCCTGGCACTATCATGGACTGACAGAATATGTGTCACCTTATTCTTACTCAATTGCTCTGCATCTCTGGCATCTGTCATAGAAGAAAGAAATTGGACATTTTAATATTCTCCGCAAGTTAATTACTCCTAAAATTTAGCTGGTAATAACACAAGGTGACTTGCATATTTCTTTCTTGAAACTTCATAATTGATAATGCCCAGAATAATCTAGATCTAGAGAATTCAGAGTTACTGTTTTATGTATTACACAAATAACTAAGTTTATTTCTTAACCGGCACATATTTGAATCCAAAGTGGCCACCTAAAACTCAAAATGTATTTAGATTAATAAACATTGTAATCATGATGGTTGCTGTTTAAAAGAAGTGAACTTAGAAAGTCATTTTGTTGTTGGCATTTGTAAACTGTGGACATTTAGGTTAGTCTTTTATATGAGACACATAACAATAAAGATGTTTAAAATGTTTTTGATTTAAAAAAAAAAAAAACGATCTCTCAATGACTAGTAATCTAAGTTAAAAGTAAACACAAAGACCCACTAACTACAGAACATATAGGAACCTGCCAGGTACTTCTTTACTCTGGTGTCAAAAGGAGGTACAGGTCTTCATGAGACAAGGTTACGGTTTATAACGTCCACATTTACTTTAGGACAAAAGTAAAAATGGGAAAATTTCTGGGAATTTCAATCAAAGCTGTCCATCCATTATCTGTTGGTTATCTGCATATAAAACTAAGGAGACACCAAAATTACATCACCCTCCAATTCTTCTACCTGCAGGGAGAAGACCCAGTGGCACCACCCTCCTGAACTTGAACTCTCAGAGTGTCAGCCCTCATACTCTGTCGTGGACTGGGACAAGCTTTGTAAAATGATACAGGGTAAAATGGATCCAAAGGCAAATGTGTAATTATCATGTTTCTAAAGAATATTTAATGACATGGGAAAATGCAGGGGGGGGAAAGCAGGTACAGAACTATAAGCTCAATTTGTAAAAACACATAAAACAAAACAAAATACTATAAAGACTTAGCCCAGACAGTAATAATCTTTGAGAGACAGATTACAAGTGCTTTTTATTTTCTTTATAGTTGTGTCTGTGTGTGTGTTCTACATGAGTGGTTCTAAAAGTTCAACTTGCCTATGAACTATTTGGGGTTTGTTAAAAAGGCAGATTTCTGAGCCTCAACTTAGTTGGAGGTCTCAGGCAGGGCTGATGAATCTGCATTTCTAACAACCCTCAATGATTACTGCAGAAACTAAAAACAACACTGTTTTAAACATTCTGCAATAAGCATGCACCACTCTTAAAGTCAGAAAAAAAATCTCCATAAAATGTTGGTTTTATTTTAAGCCTCTCTACATTGCTCCAGCCATCTCAAGCTTCCAGTTCAGATGTGCACAGTAGCCATTGGCAGCTTACACATGGGGGCACAATCCCAACCAGCCCCTGTCCTGCTCCCACCCCCAACTATCAGATAATGAGGATTCAGCAAGGCTGGCTTTGAATCAGGATCCCACAGGCACCAGTCTCCATATTCTCACCAAAATGCAATTTTCAAATCACCACCAGAATGCATTTTTTAGCCAGGTAATGAAACAAGCTAGAACTGGAACTTCAGGTACTTACAGAACCACCCAGACAGTATGGGGCAGGCAGACATAGAAGAGCCACCTGACACCCTAGGAAGGAGGCAAAGGTGAGCACAGTGCCCCCACTACACATCACACTCTGCCGAACAGGTTTCTCCTGATTCCAGTTCTGTCCAATGGCTTCAATTTTAGTAATCAATATTTGTTTAAATATACCTTTATAACACGGATTAACATAAAACCCGTGCTTTGGGAATAAAAATGTACAGCCTCCTATAGATCATTCAATGCCACAAATGAACCAATGGACTGTTAGACTCCAAAGAAAATGAATGTAACTACTGGATAATGCTCCTTTTCCTCCTGCGCTGCTTCCTATTGTATCCGAGCACCGTCTGCACAGTCGCACTACATTTGGGGTTATCCTTTCCCATAAAGCAAGGGCTACATCCATGTACTTGAGTGCACAAAAATGCTTAATTAATGCCACTTGATGATGACATCAGGCCTTTTATTTTTCATGACTTGAAACTATTAATCATTCTGGATTGCCACCTTCCAACCATGGGCACAATAATGAACCATCAATCAGAACTGCAAGGCTCGCCTGTGGCATCACCAACTTGACAGATGGATTGCAAAAACCTTTACAGTTCAAGCAGCCCTCCCTGGAAACAAAATCACAGGGGCACACTTAGCTCTTTGCTAAGAGTGGGGTCCACAGAGCAGCAGGATCGCCATCCACTGGGAGCGCATGAAAAATGCAGTCTCAGGCCCAGCCAGGCCTATACGTCAGGACCAGCACTGTAGCCAGCTCCCCAGATCTGTATGTAAAGCATCAAGTCCTGGGGAGCCTTTAGGGAATGGCCAAAGTGCTCTGACAGGCAGCCACTGGTGCTCTCCCCACTGTGGAGTTTCAATGCTATTTCAAAGCCAGAAAATTATTCATAGTCATTTGCAATCATAAACTCAACAAGTCAGTACTAATAAAACCACTAGGAAGAATGAAGGTTAGACTTCTTATAGAAAACCAAATCTAGGGGAACGCACATGGACCTGTGAACTAGTTATCTCAGGAGATGGGGTCACAGGAAGTTTTCACTCTCTTCTATCATGTTTGGATTTTTTCTTAGTTTTTAGTAAAGTGTCCACCTTACTTTTATAATCAGGAAAAGCAACGTTTTAAAAAATATTGTTAACAAAATTCAATATAAATGCATTAATGAGTAAATCCCTCACTGATAAAAACTGCTAACCATGTTCCTTTCCTCTCTCTACCGGCATCTCTCCTGGTCCTGGCACTCCTGCCCACTCCACCTCCCTTTACCTCCTAGGGCCCTACATAGCCTTCTGAAAACAGCAAATGTCTCTTTCATACATGCCGGGCACTAAAGTAGAAATCTCTGGTACTGTACTCCGTCCCTGGCTCAAAGGAAGACCCACCAGTTCCTGGTGAGGCCTCACTTCAGAAATGGGTGAGTCCGCTAGGAGATGCTCAAAGGGGAGGGTGACCACCTGAACGACCCAAAGCTATGCACTTCCTTAGGGAGAAGAATTAGCAGTCTAGTTCTCACAGCCATACAGAAGATGAGCAGAGGTAACCAGCCCTGAGGTGCAATACATGCCAGAGTGGCCACGAATAAACTAGCCAGGCAAAAGTTGAACAGAATTGCCTTTGCATAAAACTAACAAAAATACATTGGAAGAAATTAACGCTATCAACACAAGTGTTCTAGAAAAAAAGGCACTTGGCAGGAAAAGACCTTCTTTGGTGGTGCCTTTCAATCCCTCCCCCACTCAGAGTCTTCAGGATGAGGGAGGGGAAGGAGAAGCGGGTGAGTGGAGGGAGGGAGGTCTCTGTTAAAGAGACTCAACTCATTTGGCTCAGAACCTGCAACCCTCAAGTCATGCTCTGAGTCATCTCCCAAACAATATTTTATCTCCCAAGGTGAGAATGTGATGGGCAAGAGATTCCAATCTGTACTGCAGTTTTACTTCCCACTGAGAAATTACTGACTTCTAGAGTTATAATTGTTATAAATAACTTCTGGAGTTATGCATTAATTATTACTGAGTTCTACCTTCAAGCTGATTTCTACCTAGGCTGGGGCTGAACTGGGGAGGGGGCATTTGCCCATTCTTCACCACTAACCAAGTGGAGATGAAGGAAGCCAGGCTGTCTGGGTCAAGTCCTGGCTCTGACACTTACTGGGGCTGACCCAGGGTGAGTTTTCCAGTGCCTCATTTTGTCAGCTGTAAGTGGGCAAAACAGTAAGAGTACTCATCTTGAAGGGTTGCTGTAAGGATCAAATGCTATGAACGACTTAGAACAGTGCTTTCAGTTAGTGTCTGCTGTTGTCTTCACTGTCATTGTCATCATCATCACTATTGCCCAATCAAATCCAAGGCTGGTCCTAGGCCTCAACCCCTTTACCTCTGAATGTTTCTAAATTCACACTTCCTTCAGAGAGACTCGGAACTCTGCTCCACTCCACCTGACTTTCACCGTCTGCAACCAGGGCTCTTGGTCTAAGTTAAATGCAGTTCACCAGGCTAACCATGTTTCAGCAACCAGTGAGCTTGTTCTACTTACCTTGCAGGTACAGACCCCAACAACAATCACAATGCTTACACTGGTTTCCCACTTTCCTAGATTTTGTGGACATCTTCAAACAGTAAGGGCTTCCTCTCTCAGTGGACAGTCAATGTAGTGTGTGCTAAGCTTGGAGAAAGCAGCTGACCACTCCCCCTGGGCCTCCCTTCCACTCCCTGCCTCCCTCTTCAGCATCTCCAGTGCCAACCAGTAGAGCACATGCTTGCAGCAGGTTGGCCAGCAGAGGCTGGGCTGTTTGGGGGCTTTCTATAGGTGGGGCTATCCCCAGGTGTTGGAAAGCCATTCTTAATTCACTGCAAAGTTGTTGCAGAGTAACATGTAAAGGATGCCACTCAGAAGAATGAAGGAAGGGAAGAGGTAGGAAAGAAGGAAAGAAAAGAGATGGAAAGGGAGAAACAAAAGGAGAAGGGAGTGACTATCAACATTTCTTTATACATTTCTATATGGGTTATTGAGCTACAGTAAGCCTGTATTTTTCTATAATTAATAAAAAGACGAATGACTAAACGCAACACCATGCTCATTCCTTGACAACACTGGATTCACTCTCAGGTGAAAGTCATAGGCCTTTCTAAAAGAGGTCCAATTTCATAGTCGTCTCACATTTACTAAGTAACCTTTACCAGCAGACACCGCCACACACCAGACATGGTATGAGGGCTCTGTAAGCACTTATGGCATTGACAGACAAGCTGAGTCATGTGTGGCTCCCTCTTAGGAAGACACTGGCATTTGCTGCACACACTGTGTACCAGGCATAGAACTGCCCTGACAAAGTGCAATCCTCCCACCCTGTGAGGCTGTGTGAGGATCTTGTGCATAGGCTGTCATGTGTCGAAGGCCCAGTGGCTAGCAAGGGGCACAAACAAAATCCAGGGCAGGGCTGGTGGGCTATAGGGCCAAAGTCCCTCCACTCCCCAGGCACTTCCTGTCTTGTACCCACTCCCTAAGCTCTGCCCACCTGGGACAAAGTGAGAGCTACATCCAGCTCTCACAGCACCCAGACAAACCTGGGAATGAGTTGTGACCTCACAGGCACACCACAGAAGCAATACTTCCATCCCTCCCCGCATCCTGCTGACCCGCTGCACTGTCGCTTCTCTGTCTTCCACAGGCCTCACTCTGGTGAATGTCTGATATGTGCTCGATGAACTGAGGGGTGGACAAAAGATAAGAGCATATTAACACCAGAGGAATGGAAGCCACAGCAAAAAGTCACCTCTGTACACTGAGGGCATGTGGGCTGTTGTGGACCATAGTTAACAGTGAAACCCCAAACTGAGGGTCCGGGAGCTAAGTGAAGCTTCTGTGTGGACGGATATTCAGAACACAGACACAGATTTTATTATCAAGAGAGTTTTAAATATTTCCTTAAAGCTGGGCATGATGTCCTTTTAAGAGAAGTTAACACTCTAGGAGTAAAACCTAAACTCTTATATACTGTTGACAGAAGTATTGAGTTTCGCTGATTTGTTTACTAAAATTTTAAATTTGTGAACACTTTGATCTAGCAATTTTACTTTTAATAATGTTTCCTAAACTCTGTTCCCAAACATGAAAGTAGTTAATAATAACTCACTAAATAACCCCATAACGATATCTGCTGGTAATGTACTCCCACACCACCAGGCCTACCTACCATGAAGCCATGCTGATCTTTCAGAATTACACAGTTTACTAATTTGGTAACCCAGTGCTATCTTTAGCATGTTCTAGTAGCAATCAGCAGCTGTCAGCTCCCCGTGCTCAGTTCCCTCTATGGTCAATTAGGGCCCTAGGAGTCCACTGAGGAGAAGAGAAAGAAAAAAAAAAAAAACACACCATTCAGAGAAATTTTTACAATCAGAGCCTCACCTCAAAAATTTAAGCAACAGCCAGAAGACAGATGACAGAACACACTGTTGCAGATTCTGACTTGCTTGGGGAAAGGCGTGTCAGATGCTTGGCTCTACCTACCTGAACCCAGGTGGGGACTTGTTTTTGCAAGTTTCCTAGGTCCATTCCACTCCATTAAGTACACTCCAGCGCCGATGCTGAGGAACAAGTGTTTTCACTTACACAAAATCAAAACAATGCGCATTGCAGCGCAGGCGTGGGGCCGCCCTCACAGCTGGGGTGGGCCTGCTCACTGCCCACAGGGCCAAGCCCAGGAGTCTGCGCCACGTCCTTAACTACAGAGCACACTGAGATGAAGTATTAAAATAAAGCCAACAGCTGACAGCAAACTGATAAATACTGAACACACTGCAGGGAAACGTATACAAAAAGTTGTCAGCACAAGGTGAGCATCATCTGCCAGAGGTGAAATGTCCACTTATTTGGCCTGGGTGATTAAAGTTTTCTGAAAGTCTAGTAGCAATAACTAGAAAACAAGAGAGACCGAAGATGATAAACAATTCCACACTGCCAAATGTGTCCTTGGCCCTCATTGTCCGGGCAGGTGTGCAGGGAGGGCAAGGGCAAGGTCTGACCAGGAGAGTGGGAACCACCCTTCCTAGCCCTCACCATCACCAATCCTCAGTCCAGGCACTGGAGGACGAGGAGGGCCTGGCCTGATGGGGGTCCACATCCAGACACGCACCCGAGTCTGCACCAGGTTGCCAATCATGCACAGAGGTCGTAAGGTGACTCTTTAAAGCCTAGACTCACCTTTGAAGTTGCCGATGTACAGGCCGGGCAGGATCTAGAAGAGACATGAGATATGAATGTTTGCAGAGCCAAAGCTGACATTGGTTCATGTGCCTAAAGGCCAGGATGTCCCAGGTCTGTCTGCCTGCCACACCCACCTCCCCATCGCCTCCCTGTTTCCAGGACCCCTGTGCACCCACACACTCTGGGGGGGGCTGCACATTCGTGCCACTGCTCATCGAGCTTTGGGGGTTCAGACTACCCATAGCACACCCTCCTGGCCCCATCTGCTCCAGGGGCAGTTACGCCTTGTTCTTCCACTCCCACAGAAAAACGGACCATGGCATGCACTGGCATGCTTCAAGCAGTGGACCTCTTCAAGCATATCTGGACGACCAGTTGTCTTGCTAAAAATTGATGGCATGAGAAAATGGCACTTCAGAAGGATTCTGTGGTGGCAAATTTCAGAGCCACCTTCCAAAAGCAAGGGACAAGTTGAGGGCCCACAGAATTTATAGACCACACTAGGACCCTCTGAGAGCAGAAGGGGCACTATTCGTTAATTCCTCAGACCGCAGGCAGGAGTCAGAGGACTGGGTACACAGTGTGTGACCACCCCAGCTGGCCCAGACCCCATGGGAACAAAAGTAACTCCAAGAGTGCACCAGGGCACCACGAGGCCAGGCCATACCAGCTCTGTGACTAGGAACATGGGAGATGGTATCTGGAAGAAAAACAGCATCACTGCTAAAATTCTTGAGTCTTTCTCCTGGGAGGAAGGGTAGTGTAGTACTTTGTCATTTCTGCTTTAAACCATTAGAATAAGGCATGCTTATTGTGGACAGAGATCAAACCAGTGCTCTGCAGCAGCTCTTGGCGGCATAGAGCTTTCTCGCGTGTGATCTCCAGTTGCCAGGATCTCTCCATCTTCATGAGAATGCTATAGTTGACACTGAAGGTGCAATCATCACGTGGCTGCTGTGGCTGACAGGGACTGCGATGGATTCAGACTCATACAAGTGGCCAGTATAATGGGCTACAACATAGGCATATGTGTCCACCCAAGACACCGTCAGGTAGGTGAGCATTGGCTGAGCACTCAGGACATAGCAGCAACCATAAGGGTCTGGCTCCACACTTGCAGAACTTTGCCGAGGGAATGTGGAGGTCAGGAGTGCTCTAGGCACAGTCAACAGAGGCCCAACAACTCTGGAACCAAAATAAGACTGCCCAAGGCCCTGATGTGAAGAATAGTGGACCAGCCTTAAAAGCTTGCAAGTGGTCATCCAAGGCACAACAAATGGTCTCCATTCTCCTGGAGCAACAGAGAAAGATGGAGAGTCAGCAACAGGAGGAGGATATAGAATGTGTGGCTAACTGCCTCATGAACAACTGCCTCCTTTGCCATGAGACCAGAACTGGATGGTGCCCAGCTATCATCTATGGAAGAATCCTGATCAAAAAGGGGAAAAATGTAGAACAGAATTTCAAATTCTCATGGACCCCAGACTTTCTGGAGCCATGGAGGCTGGATGAACCCCTGAAAACTACCACCCTGAGACAGTATTTAAGTCTTAAACCAAAAACCTCCCCTGAAGCCTTCTTAAAACCAAAAAACAGTTTAGCTTAACAAGTAAAAAATGTCTGTCTCTTTTAGTAACTATTTACATGGGATCAAACTGACTACAACATGAAAGATCAGATAGGAAACTTAGAGGTAATGAGTTTATGTTAATGGAGGAGGAACAACTCAGAAAATGAGGGTGAGAATGGTTGCACAACTCAAAGAATGGGTACAATGTCACTGAATTGTACACGTAGAAACTGTTGAATTAGTGTATGTTTTGCTGTGTATATTCTCAACAATAACAACAAAATAAATAAGTGGACCAGGGAAAGAGGAAAGCAGGTTGGTGGGAAGGACAAGGCTGCAGAAGGCAGTCAGGAAGGAGAGGTGCAGTGGGCTACAGACAGAGTAAGAGGTGGGAGAGGGGAGCAGACAAGGCTGCAAAGGAACTCCAGCCTGCGAGGCAGACTCTGACTTGATTTCTGCAGCCTGGACACAATTGTGTACCTGGACTGGGTACACACTGTGTGACAATCCCAGCTGGCCCAGACTCCATGGGAACAAAAATAACTGCAAGAGGGCATCAGGGCGCCATGAGGCCAGGCCACACAAGCTCTCAGGGCTCAAGGTTAGGTGCCATGAAATGCAGCTAAGGTGCTTATAATGTGTGGAGCTGTTAAAAAGGAGATCTTGATATACTTCCTGGAAGATGGTGGCATGAGTGGTTCTACGCTGCTGTCTCCCCACACTATTCCCAAAGTGAACATCTTTGTCATCTAGTACTGCTATAACAGAAATACCACAAGTGGATGGCTTTAACAAAGAGAAGTTTATTCTCTCACAGTCCAGTAGGCTACAAATCCAAATTCAGGGCGTCAGCTTCAGGAGAAGGCTTTCTCCCTCTGTCAGCTCTGGAGGAAGGTCCTCCTGATGCATCAGTCTTCCTTTGATCTGGGAGCATCTCAGCACAGGAACCTCAGGACGCGCTCTGCTCCCGGTACTGCCTTCTTGGTGGTATGAGGTTCCCATGTGTCTCTGCTCACTTCTCTCTTTTATATCTCAAAAGAGACTGGCTTAAGACACTATCCAGTCTTGTATACCTCATCAGGATAACTGCCGCTAATCCATCTTATTAGATCACAGTGATTGAATTTACAACACATAAGGAAATGACATCAGATTACAAAACGGATGCAATTATACAATACTGGGAATCACAACCCAGCCAAGCTGACAGATATTTTTTGGGACATAATTCAATCCATGACAGTAAACAATTGAAAAATTAGTAGAAATGGCTTGTAAGATTTCTAAAAAGTAATCAGAGAGTTGTAGCATCTAGAGAACATTAAATCAAGGAAAAGGCAATTTTAAAACACAGGAAGTCCTTGACTTACGGGACTTGGTGTATGTTCCAATGGCTCCGTCATAAATCAGTTCTGACATAAGTTGAATACCTCATTTTTATTTTTAGTTTTCATTATTGCCTTTTATTATCAGTTATCTTTATAAATCCAATCTTTGTCTTTGGGGGTTGCAAACATTACATATAAATTTACAGATATACTTTAATGCATACATACATAAAAAAATACACAAATTATAAAAATTTATTCCGATGATGAAGAAGAGTTTGATGACATTGGTATTTTGTCAGCTGAGGTAATAACTCCACTTATGGAAAGTTCTGGACCATCTGGATTATCCCTGGGAATGGGGATGGGGTGTCTAGTCAGAAAATGAGAGCTATCTGTATGATCCTTTTCTTTTTTTCTTTATATAGTTTGTGGTAACATCATACTGCTTCCCAAATCTATCAACTTTAGCAAAGTGATCAGGGTTTGGGTCCATGTTTTGAAGCAACTGAAGTCCCTGATTTAATTTAGAAAACTAAATCTATACGGCAGTGTTTTGAACAGTAAATCATAAAACTGAACATCTTCGAGTGAACATCTGAGAATAACATCAGTAAATTATGCACTGCAACACTGTATGCAGTACATATTACTAACAATAAAATGTACAAAAAAAACTCCAAAAATGGGACAGTCGTTAAGTGTGATTCGTTGTAACTTGAATACATTGTTTAAGTTGGTGTGGTGTGATGGATTGCTTTTGTGTGGCCTTTCTAGCCAGGATCTTGTAACTCCCACCCAAGTAATTGGGTGGTACTGTATAAATAAGACAACTGTGGCCCACCAAGGGGATTGGTCAGTTTTGCCTTAAAAGAGAGCCAATTCCAGAGCAGAGAGAGGATCCCACCACCACCAAAGAAGAACAGCCAGGAGTGGAGAGCACGTCCTTTGGAACTGAGATTCCTGCGCTGAGAAGCTCCTGGAACCAGGAGAGAAAGAGAGAGACAGAGAGAGAGAGCTCAAAAAGTGGTGGCAGAGAAACGACGACAGAAGACTGCGTGGTGGGCCTTCCGGCCCACAGAGCAAGAAAGCTGAATGCACTTGGGCAGGAGGCTTGCTGGCGGAGTAGAATGCCTTTGGGCACTTACTGACAGAGCTAAAAGAGCTTTGTAACACATGCCCAAGGAGGGCAGAGGCTGAGGGCCACAGAAGCGTGCCTGCGAGCACAGCTGGGAAGAGGCTGTTCTGATGAAAGAACTGTACCCTGAGCGTTCCTGAACTTGAATTATAACGTGTTACTTCCCCAGTACACCCCATAATCATGAGTACTATCTGTGAATGTGGCCATTGCAATCAATTATCGAACCCAGCAGAGAAGTATAGAGTTCCGTGGGAGGGATAGTTGGTGTCAGAACTGGTAAGATGGTGGAGAGAGGAGGCATGTCTGATGTCTGCCTCATAGGAATCGGGCTTGGGCTATTAATCTTGATTCTCCTCCCCTTTGTGAAGTTAGAGGAGGTCAAACATTGCCCCCTCGCCATTTTTACAGTCAAGGACTACCTGTACTGCCTTTGCTATATCCCATTAAGTATTGGTATGTTGTGCTGTCATTTTCATTTGACGCTAAGACGTTTGTTATTTCTCTTTCGAGTTCTTCCTTGGCCCACTGGTAGTTGTTGTGGATTGACTTGTGTCCCCCAAAAATACGTGTCAACTTGACTGGGCCATAATTCCCAGTATTATGTGGCTGTCCTCCATTTTGTGATCTCATGTAATTATCCTATGTGTTTAAATTCTAACCTCTGTGATGTTAATGAGGCAAGATCAGAAGCAGTTATGTTAATGAGGCAGGACACAATCTATAGGATTAGGTTGTATCTTGAATCGCTCTCTTTTGAGATATGAAAGAGAGAAGCAAGCAGAAAAAAGAGGGACCTCCTACCACCAAGAACAAATAGCTCGGAGCAAAGCACATCCTTTGGACCCGAGGTCCCTGCGCTGAGAAACTCCTAGACCCAGGAGAAGACTGATGCCAAGACCTTCCCCTAGAGCCAGAGAGAAAGCCTTCCCCTGGAGCTGGTGCCCTGAATTTGGACTGTGAGAGGATAAATTTCTGTTTGTTAAAGCCATCCACTTGTGGTGTTTCTGTTATAGCAGCACTAGATAACTAAGTTAGTAGTTTAATAGCGTGCTGTTTAATTTCCATATATTGTACCTTTTACAATTTTTTCTTCTTTTCTTGATTTCTAGCTTCACTCCATTGTGATCAGAGAAAATACTTTGTATGATTTCAATCTTTTAAAATTTACCAAGACTTGCTTTTTGACCTAACATGAGGCCTGTCCTGGAAAATGATTCATGTGCACTGGAGTAGAGTGTATACTGGGCTGTTGTTGGGTGAAGTGTTCTATATATGTCTGTTAACAAGACCCTATTTTCTGTATTGAAATTTTTTTTTTTTGATTCCATGTGTTTTCACTAATGGAAGCACACAGAGTCATGGAGTGTGTTTAAAGTTTTGGTTGGTAATATGGATTTTGAGAAATATTCTTTGGGAATAGATGGGCACACAGACCTCAAGGAGTTCTCAGGCACCAGGATTAGTGGGTGCCCATCTGTCCCACCAGTCATGGGTGACAGAATGTATTGTGACACACACACACACACACAAAAACAAACCAAACCCATCAAGATTTTCTAACTATCACAAAGCATAAATATGCTTACAAGGCTTATCTAGCTGTACAAAAGCCAAGAGACAAATTTTTTACCCAGTTACACTTCCTGGATGCACTACCTTACATTTAACATTTCTTTTGTCTTTCACCATTACACAAGTCCCCACTGGAGGGCAGCAAATACTTCTAGTGGGAAAAGTAGAGTCCCAAGAAACCTGAGAGCCAGAGAAAGTGGGTGGGATACCATATATCCCACAGGTTATGAAAGGGTTATGCCAAGTTGTTTTATAGTTGGTGTATAGTGACAAAATGTCAATGTCGTCTAACTCTTCTTCATTGTCGGAGTAAATTTTTATGATTTGTATATTTTTTAAATGCATGTATGTATATCTTTTAACATATATCTTTAAGTTTATATGTAATGTTTCCAACCCCTAATGGCAAACAAAGATGGGATTTATAAAGATACTGATAACAAAGGCAATAATAATGAAAACAAATGAGGTATTCGGCTTACACCAGAACTGACATTGGGACAGAACCCCGTTGTAAGTCAGGGACTACCTATATACTCAGAGTTAAACAGCAACGAATGCCTACATGAAAAAAAAAGAAAGGTCTCAAATCAACAGCCTAACTCTACAATTAGAGAAAGTAGAAAGAAAAGAGAAAACTACGCCTAAACCTACCAGAAGAAAGGAAATAA